ATTACCTATGCTCTACCTTACATGCCCATGACTATTTTAATAACTGGCAATTTGTATATCTTAATCTCTGCCCCTTTTTCACCCATCCCCTCAACCCCTTCCCATCTGGCAACAATTAAATTGTTCTCTGTATCTATGAGCTTGTTTCTGTTTTGTTTGTTCATTTATTTTGCTTTTTAGATTCCACATGTAAGTGAAATCATATGGTACTTGTCTTTCTCTGTCTGACTTCACTTATTTGCCTTTTGTCCTTTACAATGTTTTAAAAACATTGTTAACTGTCTTCAGTTATGTAGAATTGATAATGAAAATACTTGGTTCTTGACACAATATCATTATTGGTCCTTTTAAGTCTTTTGTCTAATGATGTAAAAAATATCTGTGAACCCACCTCTCAACCCAAAAGCTATTAACTCATATCTACTACCTATGGGTATCTCTTCTATTCTAGTCTCCTTCCCCCCTCAGAAATAACCTCACTATTATATCTATATTTCCCTTGCCTTAAAAATAGTTTTATCTCATATATGTGAATAGATAATATATTGCTTAGTTTTTAACTTTATAAATTGATATTAAACCATGTGCTATCTTCTGGGACTTGCTTTATTCATTCAACATTATATTATTAAGATTTGTCCATTGTGTTTTATGAAGGTACAGTTAATTTTCATTTGAATATAATAGAGGCAAGCCAGGTAAAGGGTAATTAGAAGAGTACTTCAGGTAGAAAAGTAGCATGTGTTAAGGCCCTGAGATATGAAACAGCATGTCAGTTTTGAGGAACTATCCAGAAAGGAACTCCAGTGACTCTGGAGTACTGAGGTCTGGGGAAGGAGTAACTGAAGAAGAGTTAGGAGCAGCAGCCAAGGGCCAGACTACACAGTGCCTGGGCTTTTTATCCTAAGTGCAATGGAAGTCATTAGGCAGAGGAATGACATAGTCTGGTTGCTGTTTTAAAAGATTAATCTGGCTACTCATAAAGAGTAGATTGAGGAGATGTAGCAAGAATCCAATCCCGAGGCAGGTGCTATTATTCTCCCCATTTTTCAGATGAGAAGACTAAGGCCCAGAGGGAATCGATATAGGGTCCCATAGTTTAGAGAGGTTTGGTTTTGAGACAGATTTAAGTGTTCACCGGCTTATAGTCAGAGTCACAGATTGAATAAGATCACCTAGGGAGAGAACATAGGTAGAAAAGGAAAAAAAAAAAAAGGTTAAGAAGCCTGAGGCACTCTAATACTTAGACTTAGTTAGAGGAAGGGAAAAAGAGATGAAAATGGAGCAGTCAATGAAAGTAAAACCATAGAATTATTTTTACATAGAAGCCAAAAAGAAAATAAACTGCTTCAAGAAAGCAGCAGTGGTCGACTATGCCAAATGTTGCTGAAAAGTAAGTGAATTAAGGACTGAAAGTGGCCATTTGATTTAGCAACATGGAGGTGGTCAGTCTCTACTCCTTAGCTATCTTAAGGCATGCACAGAGGAACTCAAAAAGTATTATTATTGTCTCCTGTGTTTCTAAAGCTCAGAGGGGTTAGGTAACTCGCCTCAAGTAAAACAGCTAGGGAATGACAAACTTGGAACTGGAAGTCTTACTCAAAATCCAGTCTTCTTTCCACTACATCACAGCTCTTCATAGCCGGGAGGTTTGTTTCATTTGCTACATGAGTGACAGGTCCCATGTGTACTGCAGAGCTGAATTCATTTCAACATGCCTGGAGTGTATATTATGTGCAAAGCTCCATTGTAGTCACTGCAAAAGATTTGAAGATAAAAAAGACACAGATCATAATCCCAAGGAGTTTTTAGAGTCTGGTAAAATAACATCTATATAACTATGTTCTAAGACAACGTGGAAGTAATGGAGGCATAGAAAAGTGAGGATTTGGGTTAGGTCTGAACCAGTGACTTGGTGGGGAAAATCTTGTTCAATCTTCTTTACTGCTGTACACTCACTATGTGCCTGGCAAAAAGTTGGGCTCAGTAAACACCTGTTATAACAAGTATTGAATACCAATTTTTTGACAGGCACATGGAAATTATATAGCAGTAAACAGGAAGTAGATTTGGCTAGCACAAGTGATAAAAGTAAAAAAAGTTAGGGGAATGGAGAATTTATTTAAAAGATAGTGCAGAAGGCCTGGGGCGGGGTGGGAACCGGGTGGAGGGGACAAAGGGGGAGAAAAGGGGAGCATCTGTAATACTCTCAACAATAGAGATAAAAAAAGATATTGGGATATCTCAGAGTTAAGGGAAGTATTGACTCAGAAAGGGTAGGAATAGGATCACCTCTGGGTTCAAGAGCAATTTATGGATCTTCTCTCCAGCTTTAATGTGACTCCCCCGCCCCGCCCCCATCTCCCATAGCCACAAACTATTTCCATTTAAAATGCCATGCGCTTGGGAGAGAGAAATTGATTGTCCCAAATGGGTCAGAGATCCTTCCCTGGAATTAGTTATTATGGCCAATAGGGAAGGTTCACATATCACAGACATCAGATATGGCCATTACAGAACAACCCATGGTTTCAAATCACTTCCAAAGAAGGTAAATCCTTGTTAGCTGGAAATCTACTGTATTCTGTGTGTTATCTACTTAAATATAATCAAGAGGAATGAAATTAAGGGAATGCATTCACTTTTCCCAGAAGATTGATATTCCAAGCCTTTTCCTGTCATAAGAATTTTCTGACAACAGCAAGCTAACCAACAGAGAACTTATGAGATAGAAGGAGCTTTTGGCAACCATTAATTCAACCTCACTGTATGATGAGAAAATATGAAGCCCTTGCATGCTTACATACAGTACACAGAAAATAAATGGTAGTACTGGGTTACAGGAAATTTCTGACCTTTAATTCTGTGGGACCTTTCTCTGCCTATATTCCATACTGCTTAGCATTGTGCTGAGAAAATAACCATGGTATCTTTCAAACTTCCTCATGATATCATGCTCAGGTATAAGTAGCAACCTAGCAAGAGTTATCTGTCATCCATGGCCAGAAGTCCAGAGAATTTGGCCAGGCTGAGTAGGTTTTATGATCAGGCAGATAGCTGAGTTAGGATATACAATGGATAAACAATCAAGGACATGTCAACAACAGCTTAAGATAGGCCTAAAAACAAGATTATTATCCTCCTGAGTTTTCTCTTCTTGAGGTTAAACAACCCTAGATCCTTCCATTGGAAAAGGGAAGTGACTGCCTCATATAACTTGTATCAAGGCCATTGCTTACAGAATTGCTCAAACCACACTTCTAGCTTTACAGAATAAATGTCGCTAATTACACCTGCTTCCCTTCATCTTTACCAATTAACATCCAGCAAATCAGGGTGTTTGCTCTTTCAATATCACGACTGACCAGAAGTTTACTTTAGGAAATACAATGTAGTGGGAAAGTGTATATATCTCGAGCTATACTACCTGGGTTCAAATTCCAGCTTTACCATTTCCTAAAGATGCAATTTTTGGTAAGTCACTCTGTCTCCTTGGGCTTTTGTTTTCTCACCTGTAAAATGAGGATAGTACTAATATCTACTTCATAGGGAGGTTGTGAGAATCAAATTAGTTAATATATCCTTGGGGGCATGAGACAGCATATATAGATATTTTGACTCCAAAGTAAGAATTACATCTAGAGACAAAGATGCCGTTAGTTTAGATGACCAGGTCCTCAAGAACTATGTTCCCTAGCACTGACTTGACAAAACCAAAGACACTTAAGTCAACCACCAGCAATCAACTGCAAACCCTAAAAGTCAATATAGAAGTGCATTGCCACTGGGTCATTGCTCCAAATACCATTGCTAACTCAGCTCACAAGCAAGGTATCCAGACTAATGTTCTAAGGGAGAATAGATGGGGCAAGTGATTCATAACAGGTGTGTCTCTCTTTGCTGCCTTCTTTTTTGGTTTGATTGTTGTTTAAAAAGTGATAACACCCATATACATCCCAGAAGATATCACCTTCCATCATTCTTTCAGCAAATATTAACTGAGCCCCTACTATATGGCAGCCACTGTTCAGTAGGCTGTGTTTAGGGCATAGAACAAACAGATGAAGTCTCTGCTATTACTGAGCTTATACTCTAGGGGGAGAGGTACTTTACCACAGAAGCAAACACATATTTGAGATTATTTTAGTTTGTGATCAGTGCTGTGATAACAAAATGGATATAAGGTCACAGAGAGTGCCTGGGCCACCGGAGTTACTTTAATTTGGGTGGTCAGGGAAAGCTTCCCTGAGATCAAAATGATATTGGAGCCCACCATAGGTAGAACCAGATAGAAATAAAAGGAAATGCAAAGTCCCTGAGGTCAGACAGATCAGCATACTGGAACAAAAAGATCAGTGTGGCTAGTGGAGAGTGAACAAGGTTTTTATAAATCAAGTCAAAGAAGTAGGCAGGGCTGGATATAAAGATCGTGGCTGGTGCCAGGGTGGTAGTAGTGGAAATGGTAAGAAATGGTCAGATCCTGGACATATTTTTAAGATAGAGCCAACAGGATTTCTTGAAGAGTTGGATGTCAAGGATGGTTCAATGATTTTTGCCCTGAGCAACCAGGTGTTGCCATTAACTGGAATGGAGAATGGTATTACATATGGTTTCTGATGGATCATTCTGGAGTTCCACTAATTGTGAATGGCACCTCAAGGCCCTCTCTGCCTACTTGTGGAGTGGGGTGGTGGTGTGGGACTGTTTGGGGTAAGTTAGAGGCATGAAGCACATTTGTGGGAATCCCTACCTTCTCTCCCCCTCTTCTGGTCCAAAATATGGAGACTTACACAGATGAGATTTAGAGAAGACTGAGTATACCGAGTCAGGCCAAACCAAGAGGCCCCAGAGACAGGGGATCTGCTGTAGCCACTTCAGTCCAGAAACTGTAAGGAAGTGGGCGGCGCCAGAGAGGGCGCTGCAGAAACTTTCTTGGCTATCTGGCAGCCTAAGGAAGCACTTTTTACCAGAAACAAAGTAAAGAAAATAGATGGGATTGAGTATGGCGTGGCCGGACAGGCCCGGAAGGACTTTGGGTGGACCGGACTGTGAAAGCTTTGGGGCAGAGGGGGAGGAGAAGCCTCCACTAGCAACTAACCTCAGCTTCCTAAACTCAGCAGAAAGGTCAGAGGAATTGTTGGGAAGGCCAGGAGCCCCGGGATTCTGTCTGCCCGCCAAAGACGGTGGAAAACCGAAGTTGTGCGATGCAGCTTTAAAGGGGCTGGTGATTGACAGAATGTGTAGCAGTGGATGGGGTGGAGCCGCTGGGTGGGGTCTGGGACCGGCAGCTGGGAGAAACCAAAAGGAAGAAAAAAGAAAACCATTGCCCCTGATATCGCTAATGCCGGGCGGGGAAAGCCAGTCAGAAAGGGAGGAAAAGGAGGGTTTTAGAGCTCACCTCCACTCCCACCCACGGTCAACTCTCTCAAACCCTTCTGTCTCCTTTGGAGATAATTAAAATAGAGTATACACCGGCCCTCGCCGGTGCCCATTACCTCTAACTCTCTACTGAACTAGGTTTGCAGTACGAGGGAGTGAGGACCCCGAGTCCATCAGCTCAACCCCAGCCCCGCCCCGTCCGTTGGCCCTGGCCCCAGGCTGGGAGGAGAGGATGCCTTCGGAGGCGCAGAATCCGAAAGTAAGTCCCTTTCATTTTGCCTACCCACCCCCTTCCCTCCCTTTTGCCCCCCTCACTGGGGTCTCCGCTGGGCTGCGAAGGAGCCACCTTATAGAAGGAGACTCTTTCAAGGAGGATCCGGAGGGTGGAGCAGGGTGGGGTAAGAAAGGGAGGGAAGGGGAGGAGGGGTGGCGCTAGGGGAGCTGCCACCCACGGAATAGGCGCGCTCAGAGTTCGATGTTTGTACTGTTGGAGACTCGATTTCCCCTCAGATCATTAGAGCCTCGACTTACCCCCTCCAGGAGATCTTTCTTTTTGTCACACTCCAGCATCCTTATCAGGTTGCTTAAAGCCTCGGGCTGTGAGTTGGGAGGGCTCCATCTTGCCTGGCTTCTTAAAGGGACAGTGCACTAGTTCAACTGAGGGAAATCTGTACTGGAAATTCAATTTAGAGAAGGACAGCAGTGAGTCGCCTTACTATGACACTATGGATGTTGGGGATATTTGTATGGAAAGGATAGCTTTTTCTCCCTCATACCAACCTCCAAACTTGGTTCTAATATCCAGTTGATTCTCAGGATGTGCACCTTTAAGTTGCACATTAATTAATTGCAGTCAATTAGCAGTTTTAGCTGAATGGAAAAATTTCTGTTTCCTAAGAGGTGTCGTGGCAGGGCAGATGGCCCCAAAAAATTAATTCATTCTACAAATATTTCTCTTTTTTTTAGGGAATATTTTTTATTTTTATTTATTTATTTTTATTATTTTTAAAAATGTCTTTTTTAAAAAATATATCTTTATTGGTTTCAGAGAGAGGAAGAGAGAGGGAGAAAGAGAGAGATAGAAACATCAGTGATGAGAGAGTCATTGATTATCTGCCTCCTGCACGCACCAGACTAGGGATTGAACCCACAACCCAGACATGTGCCCTGACCCGTAATTGAACCTTGATCTCCTGGATCACAGGTCTATGCTCGACCACTGAGCCACGCCAGCTAGGCATCTACATTTATTTCTTGAATGCTAAATTCATTGCCTGTGGCTGATCCCACTGCTGAGTGTGTCTATTAATATGTCAAGACCATGTAGAGTGGTGTCACTAACTCCTTTCTTAACAGATTGATGGCCAAAGCATCTTCTTAGGATATAGAGATATCTGTTGAATTTGATTCCAACATTTACCAAGCATCCATCACATGGAAGTTCCAGTGGTTTCCGTTTATCGTCTTTCCTTTAGTACCAGACATCCGTATGCCCAAGCCCAGGTGGCTGGGAGATCCAGCTTGAAGAGATAAGAACTCAAGTCAAAATGGCATACAAAAGGAGAAAAGTAGTATTCTTCAATAGGGAAGCTAAGGCCACCTTGGATGATCTGCCATTTCCATGACCGTGTCCAGCCAGGAAGATTGTTTTGGGGAGAAGGGCTTCACTAGCTCCCTTCTGATGATGAATAAAAGAACTGGTGTAGTGGAGACTTTGTTAGAAGGCTTCAGATGGACCAGTGACATCTTTCATGTTTGTCTCTCTCATCTTTCTTCTGCTTAGGGAGGGTGGCAGGACTGGGTGGAGCCTAATGATATCCCATAGGTTAGAGATGAAAATGTGTTGTTTGAGGTTTTAGGGCTAGTATTTCACTCTGAAAGTTTCTATTCTGTCCATGGAATGCCGGAGCTCCCAGTGCTCTGCAATTTACCAGTTCAGCTGTCTCTGGTATTAAATGCAAGTCACAGAGTCCCTCCCTTCTTTAATGTGTTAAGTTTCATTGCATCCCCAGTGCCAACTCCCATCAAGGGCATGTGTTAGTTCTAGGTTCCTAGGCAACATTTAACTAAAGCACCTTCCTCTATCCCCTCTCTCCTCAATTGATTTTCCAAACCGCAAAGTCACCTTATTCTGAATAGTCATATCACTGAGTCCACTGGATTCAGATAAAAAAGAAAGCCTTACTTAAGGTTATTTCTCCCTAAACTCACTGGCCTATGGGCTCCTAAGAACAAAGGAAACATGAATTCAACTGGAACTCTTCTGGTTACTTTCGTCAGTGGGAGTATAGTCTTGTCGCAGAGCCAAGAACCACTTGTACATGTCACACCCACTGAAGTCTGCTATCCACACCCTTGCATGGAGGGTGGAGAAGGAACTAGTGCTGGTACCATAGCCAGCCTCCTGCAGTTGGTATGCATGGAATATGGTAGAAACAGCTATGCTTCCATTTTAACATTTGATTGTCCCTTTGTGTTCACATTGGTTTGTTTTTCTGTGGGAGAATTTCTAGTTGTAGGATATGGGAACTAGGCAGTTCTTAGCTGCCATAAAATACCATTGCTGAAATATGGTTATTTTCTTCCTAGGACAGTGAAAGGTTTGTGAACCCACTAACAAGTACCACAGGCAAGCAATAGAAATCCTTTTCCAAGGTCTTCAAGTGTCTTCCCCAGAGCAATTTAATTTGTTTGCTGTCATTCATTCTGCTTCCTGGGATTGTGGAGAATTTCTATCTACTAGGAGGCAAAAGGGTTTCATGAGGGATAATTGTAAAAAGGACACTTTGTGCTCTCCCTCAGTAGAGAGAAGTAGAAGTAGTTTCGACCCCCAAGTTCCCTTCTCAAATTCCTGTATCTGATACACTAGGCTGTTCTTGCCTAAACTAGAACAGCTTGCCCGTATATTTACTTTGGTATGTGTTCCTTCCTCGTTGTTCCTCAGCCTTCAAGGATAAGGAACTGTGATAAACAAAGGTATCAACACAGAAGTGCATTGTGTTATGATATTCTTTAATTAATCCATTCCACAAATGCTTAGTAAGAATCTACTCTGTGCCATCACTGCATAGACTGGGGAATTTTAGCAATGAACAAAACAAAGCCCCTGCTCTTTTGGAGATTATATTCTAATGAGGGTGTGTTGGTGGAGGGGAAAGCCAATAAATAATAAAGGTATTTGTTGGGTGGGGATAAGGTGGGAGAAAAAATATAAGGCACTTGGGATTGGGGGGATATATTTAATATAGAGCAGTTAAAGAAAATTTCTCTTATATGGTGATATTTAAAAATATATCTGAATGAAACAAGAGAGTCAGCCATGAGAATACCTGATGGAATCGTGTTCTAGAGAAAGGAAGTAGAATGTGCAAAGGCTTGGTGTGTTCAAGGAATAGCAGGAAGGCCAGTATCACTGGAGTGGAGAGGAAGAGAGTGGTAGGGCATGTGGTCAGAGAGCAGAGAGGGCCTGATCATAAAGATTTTGGCTTTTATTCTGAGTAAGGTAGGAAGCCATTTTTAAAGAAAATAATCAAAAATTATTTTACTTAAAATTCTACTCTAGTAAGGAGGATGAATCTTCAGTTGTTCATTTTAACACAATCAATATGGTCTATGTTTTAATGCTTTGGATATAATGTTCCTTTAAAGAAAAAACTTAGTAAGCTTGTTGCTGAATTCATGTCAACTAATACAATTTAATTTCATACTAACCATTGTTTTATAATTGCTTGAAAAAAGGTTTTATACACATTTGAAACTACTTAAATATAAAAACATCTTTTTGATACACTTTAATAAAAATTCGCAATAAATTTATTAGCACTAGAAGAATGTTTACGCTTTTAAAGAAAATATCACAAGATTTTGTAGCACTGTTTTACTCTATCATGAAATTATGAAAATTATTCACTTGGAACTTTTAAAAAAACTTTCAGTCTTTTTGGTACACATGATTTCTTCTAAGCTATTTACTAACTTCCCCAAGTCCTTCCCAGTGGGGAAGTATGTTTCATGTATCATTTTATTTAACCCTCAAAATAATGTTCTGAGGTAGGCACTATTATCATCTCCATTTTATAGCAAGGAAATTGAGGCACAGAAAAGTAAAGTACCTTACCCAAAGTCACGCAGCTAGTAAGTGGAAGAGGATCCATTCTCTCCTATACCTTCTAAGAAGTTGTTCCATCAGCTTTCCTCTCTCCTGTCTTCAATTTCTTTTCCTTCTTTGTTTCTCTCACCTACCCAACCATTCCCACCTAATATATAGTATATAATTGACATTTATTGAAGACCTACTCTGTGTCCAGCCCTCTATTGAACACTTTACATGTATGAATTCATATAATACAATAACCCTCTCCAGTAAATATTATTATTTCCCCTATTTTTCAATTAGGGAAATTGGGGCACAGAAAAATCAAGCTATTGTAAGTAACACTGCAATGAACATAGGGTGCATATATTCTTTTGAATTAGTATTTCGGGTCTCTTTGGATAAATTTTGAAAAGTGGAATCACTGAGTCATCAGGCAGTTACATTTTTAATCTTTTGAGGTAACTTCATACTGCATTCCACAGTGGCTGCAGTTGTAGAATTGTGCACCTGAAACTGTGTAATTTTGTTAACCAATGCTACCCCAATAAATTCAATAAAAAGGGAAAACATTTCAGGAATATACAATTCATAACTTAAAAAGAACTGAGCAACTTGCCCAAGTCTGCACATCTAGTAAATAGCGGAGCTGGGTGTTGAGCCCAAGTCTACACCTTAACTTATTATGCTATATTGACTAATCTTCAGCTTGCAAACATCAATGATGAGAGTGTCATTGATTGGCTGCCTCTTGCACACCCCCTACTGGGGATGGAGCCCGCAACCCGGGCATGTGCCCCGACCAGGAATTGAACTGCAGTCTTCTGGATCCTAGGCCAATGCTCAATCGCTGAGCCACACAGGCTGGGTCATTCCTTCTTCTTTAAAACCTTCCCCTGTCTTTGTGACAATATCTTGGATTACTACTTACCTCTCGGGCTGCTCTTTCATTCTCTTCTCTTGCCACTCTAATCCTTATTTGGGCTATTTCATCCACTTAAGAGTTTCAACTGCCGGTTAAATGCCTGTATGACAGCCCGGCTGGGCGTGGCTCAGCAGTTGAGCGTTGACCTAGGATCCAGGTGATAGGGGTTCGATTCCCGGGTCAGGGCACATGCCCAGGTTGCGGGCTCGATCAATGACTCTCTCATCATTGATGTTTCTAT